AGCAAATTCTTGCTGGTTAGTGTTTGTAGGACTTCGTGTTTACTTTGTTCTGAATACTGAGTCTCTGCTATTTAAAGCATGCTATTTTATTCTTCAGTTTCACAAAATTCTTAACTTAGTTAGAAACCAATAATATTTGTTGACAGTTTATAGAGAACCAGGGCATTCTTCTGCATGTAAATACCAACAACAACATCGAGGTAAATCATTTTCGATTTTGATTATTTTTTCGTTCATTGTTTTTTTTTTCCTTGAGATAAAAAATCCGTAGACTTTGCTATAGGTTCGATTTCACGAAGTTGAGTCACTAAAGTTTTTCTAGAAGAATAACTGTAGGTCTGGGATTTAGACAACAAGTTTTTGTCTGGTGTTCATCACTTTGAGAAGGAAATCGCTTCATTTACGGCCATGCGCAATGGAGTTTACCTGTATTCATTCAACCCAAATTCTTTGTCATAAATTAATTCATATGCATATAAATAAATATTTAGATTGTTTACAAAGGTTGTATCTTTATTGTTTGCAGTTATGTTGGAGATTCCACTGGTGATGTAACTGTCCTGAGGCTTCACCAAGAACCGTGTCAAATCGAGAAAATGAATTACCGTATTCCTCTTTCAGCATCTCATGGTAGCCGTTGTAGTTCATAATCTTTTTCTCTTTCAACGACCTTTTCAAACATATAATAGTTTTACATATGGTATATTATTACTTAACTAAATAATATTCGTGTGTACAGGCGTTGCAAGTGATGTTGTGGCAAAATTTGTGCTCCCCCAACCGACATCTGAAACTAAAAGGTATATTCTACTTTTTCCTCAAAAACGGTTATTTCTTGTTTTTAACCTTTTTTTTTTCAGGGTCCTCATTATATATTCAGATGGTGCTATTACACTCTGGGGAATACAAGAAAGCAAAGTCTTATCTACAAACAGTTGTGGCACCACTTTGCAATCTACCTATCAAGAAGCCAAGAAAGTGACAGCTGCATGTTGGGCTTGCCCTCTCGGGACCAAAGCTGCTGTAGGGTACAGCAATGGAGATATAATCCTCTGGGGTCTCTCATCCCCTTTAGATTCGAAAACCGAACAAACCTTTCAAACAGAATTGTGTGCTAGCCAAATTACTCCTATTTATAAGCTGAATCTTGGGTACAAAGCTGACAAAATTCCGATTGCAAAGTTGAAATGGGTCCCTGCCGATGGGAAATCGAGCCGGCTATACGTTTTGGGCTTGTCCGAGGGCCATTCAGCCAATTTGTTGCAGGTCATTTGTTTTCCTTTTGGTCCCTAATGGATTATTTTTCACTATTGACCTCCATTCTGTTGAGAGATGGTTATATTTGGCTCTGAAAAACTTAAATGCAATGTGGCAGGTGGTTCTACTAAACGAAAATACCGAAAATCGCACGATTAAACTAGGGCTCCATCTCCCGGAGTCTTTGATTGACATGGAAATTACAAAGGGTCCCATCGAACAGAACAAGAACCGATGCGATTTTCTTCTTTTGCTAGGGAGGTCAAGTCATGCATACACTTATGATGATTCTTTAATAGAAAGATACCTTGTACAGTGTCAAACCAAATCATCATCCCCTTCACTTCCAAAGGAAGTAAAGATAAAGCTGCCGTACGGTGATTCGGGTATTACTGTGGCTAAGTTCATCACGAACCTCCCATGCGTGCCGGGATCAGTGGCCGAGGTAGGGCCCGATCTTTCGCATGAACTTAGTAATGCTTTTTTCCGAGTGATGATAGACACAATGGTTGACTTGGGTTTTTCGGCTTTTTGTTCATGCGGTTCATTCAGGACTTCAATGTACTAGTGAAGAATACTTTGCCATTTTTACCATTTGAAAAAGGAGCACAAGATGGGTACAATTCAAATCCAACTGCTTTTAGTGCGTTTTCGAACGCGCGTAACCTGCTTATAACGGGACATAGTTCAGGCACAATTAACTTTTGGGATGCGTCTTGCCCGCTCTGGCTTCCAGTAGCTTCTATAACTCAACAGGTGACTATTTGTTGCTTGCAATGGAAGATTTTCGTATAGATATGAGTAGTGTTTTATACATTCTTGTAAAACCTACTAATATAAGTATGTGATGTACAAGCTCTAGATATAAAGCTCGTTTTGAACGAGCAAGTTAACCCACAAAAGTGTTTACCTCACAAAGCAACTAATTACCAGTCGTATTATTTATTTTCCTCGTTTTTTCTCAAATTATTCCATCCTTCAAAATTATTGTTAATTCTTGATAATTTAATTATGATTATTCATAAATACTTTTTGTTGAATAAAATAAAATTTATATCTTTCTAATGTGCAGAGTGATAATGATTCATCTCTGAGTGGAGTGCCACTGACAGCATTGCAGTTTAGCTACGAATCGCACCTTCTCGTGTCTGGAGATCAATGTGGGATGGTAAAAAATGTTTCCTTGATGCAATATTTATTTTTTGGAATTCCAACGACTGGAAGGCTACTCACTTGTTGTCTTAAATGCAGGTTCGTATATATGCATTGAAGCCTGAGTCATTTGCCCCACAAAGCACTTTCGTGTCCTTCCCAGGTTTCTAAGCTTTACTATAGTTATCCTTTCTGCTGTGATGATATGCTGGCATGTATTAGTATAGCTTTTTATGAAGGAACTAATAAATGACAATTGATTGCTATGAATTCGGCAAGATGTTAATAATATCTTTTTCGGGAAGTAATTGCTCCTTTCCTATAGTTATCCTTTCTGCTGTGATGATATGCTGGCATGTATTAGTATAGCTTTTTTATGAAGGAACTAATAAATGACAATTGATTGCTATGAATTCGGCAAGATGTTAATAATATATTTTTCGGGAAGTAATTGCTCGCTATTTTTTTTTAAAATTTTGGTCTGCAGGAAGTTCAAAGAAGGGAAGTAATCACATTATCCGGAAAATTAAAGCCGTGAAGGTTAATGGTGCAGTACTATGTATAACTGCAAGTGACGACCTGAAACAACTTGCCGTTGGATCTGACCAAGGATATGTATGTCTTATTATTTGGTTGATTTTTACAAATCACAAGTCAAAATTTCATCTTTTATTGGTTATGAATTTTCTTGCATTTAAATCGAACAGAGCTGTTAAATATTAGCACACCATCATCAAAATATTTCCTTTGCTAAGTTGCCACTGAAAAAATTCAATTTGTCAGTTGGAGGAATTTTTACTACTCTGTTGATCCACTGATTTATTATTAATGTTATATGATCTTTAAAATAGGTGTCATTAATTGATCCAGAGGGTCCCAGTATATTGTACCAGAAGCACATAGTCAGTGAATTTTG